GTAGCCGACTAACTTTTCTCTTTGCTTGCTGACGATCCATGTCATCGTTGTAGAACTCCTGTGGAAGGTACAGTGTCTTCTCAAGGACAATCATCTCTCGAGCTTCTGGTAATGGAGCGTGCAGTGACTGTGCATCATTGGGCTCAAGATCATCCATGGCTTCGCAGTCTGCTGTCATTACTTTCATCGTCCATCTCCTCAGCGGCAGCCACGAAGTCATCAGCCTTGCAGCAGAGCACATCAATGGCTTCTCCAATGTAGTGGCAGAAGGTAGACCTTCAGTTGAGGATCAGATTCATCGACCCATCCACCATTCTAGTAATAGAGCTCGTCGTCCATGGCCTCATACTCCTCAGTTTCGTCCTAGTAGGACTCCTCCTCAAAAAAGGCAAATCCATCTTCTGGCTCCTTGTCATACTCCAGATCGTAGTCCTCCGCTGCATACCATCGTTAACCTTTCCCTTTCGGGTTCTTCTGCCATTTGGTGCTCTGGTCAACTCAAGATCTATAATCCTAGCCGAACAGGTAGAGCATGCTTGCGCTTGTACAGCAAGATGTGCTGTCGCCATTCCCGGTCGTTGGTGCGGTTGTTGAAGATCGGGATGTAGATATCTCGCATTGCTTCAATGGTCCCACCAACCATCGAAGATGCAGTCGACGGACCTGAGGTTAAAAAGTCCATCCCCAGAGCGGGCATTCAGGCTCTACCAATGTTAGTAACGTAAGGAGCGAAGCAGAAACCAAAGCTAGGTGCACGAAGTCCTAGAAAAAGTTCGGAAACCAATGGCCGCTGGTTACGGCCCTTTTCCATGACCATAGCGCGTAAGGCGTAACGACCCGCCCTATGTCAAGGCGGCGCACGAGTGCAAAGTGTTCAGGTCTATTTAGCATATAATTCATAAAGCCAAATATTAAATATGTAATTAATCAAAAATCAATTTTCCATAATAAAATATAAATTAATTTATTTTCGAATGTAAAGTAATATTCTTTTGAAACATAATTTTACGTCCATCAAAATTACAAAAGAAAATTCAATACCTTTCGCATTTATTATTAAACTACAATTCTCCTAAATATCGTACACTTCGATCGTTTTATTAAACCGTAATTTCCTTCCCTATAATTTAGCCCATCCAACGCCATTTCACAACATTAACTACAAACGCCAACAAAACTGTGCTATAAAAATTACAAAAAGAATCAAAATACTATTCCCGATGCCCCCTCAATCACCGGCGACCTAACACCAATTAAACGCAAGTACACGAAAGACCAAAATCACACCCGTAGACGTAATTATTCATCAGAAATTATTAACAAAAAACACTAGAAACGATTTTACAAATTGTGTTGGCGAATTTCAAAAAACGGCAAAAAAATACGGCACAATCAAATAAAACACCCAATCATTTCGTTGTCCGCCTAATCTTCGGAAAACGCATTTCGTATCCAAAATAATTTACACATACCATTTAAATAATTCATCAATCAATTAGTCAAAAACACGCGAGAAACCGGAAATACCGAACCTTTTCGTAAGAAAATCCCCGGAGAATTAAAACGGAAACGAAAAAACAACTGGACGACGAGTGGCCCGAAAGCATTTTTCATCACGTAGGAAATCAGAGTGCGAGTTATCCGGTAAGTGTGTGTAGTGAGAAGTGTTAAGTCGAGTGAGTTAAGGTAGTGTGTGGGTTTTTATGCGTGTGTCTATGTCCGTGTGGAAACGAGTCTGCAGATCTCCGCATTTCGCGCACTCGACACGCACGATCTCCGCACGACACCGTCGCCAGTTTGCAGCTACTACCCACTTGCCAGTTCTCATCTTCCCATTCCCCAGCTACTCTGTGTCTAAAGTTGTACTACCAGGTCGCCACTTCTCATCTTCCAGCTCCTCCGCTACTCCGCATACTACTTAAATTGTACTACAAAGTCGCCAGTTCTCAGCTTCCAGCTCCGCAAATTGCTCCGCGTACTAAAGTTGTACTAGAAACTCGCCAGTTCTCAGCTTCCAGCTCCACAGCTACTCTGCGTACTAAAGTTGTACTACAAAGTCGCCAGTTCTCAGCTTCCAGCTCCACAGATTGCTCCGCGTGCTGAAGGTGTACTAGAAACTCGCCAGTTCTCAGCTTCCAGCTCCACAGCTACTCGGCGTACTAAAGTTGCAGCTTCCAGCTCCCCAACTACTCCGCGTACTAAAGTTGTACGACACAGTCGCCAGTGCTCATCTCCCAGCTCCTCAGATACTCCACGCCCTCAAGTTGTACTACCCACTCGCCAGTTCTCATCTTCCCGCCCCCCAGCTACTCCGCGTACTACTCTCGCACCACCACGTCGCCAGTTCTCAGCTTCCAGCTCCCCAGCGTACAAAATCGCACTCTCGCGTACATTTCACGCACTCGACACGCACGATCTCCGCAGAGGGTTGCGCGGGCAGCCGGCAAATCGCACTCTCGCCTGCATTTCACGCACTCGACACGCACGATCTCTGCAGAGGGTTGCGCGGGCAGCCGGCAAATCGCACTCTCGCCTGCATTTCGCGCACTCGACACGCACGATCTCCGCAGAGGATTGCGCGGGCA